AGTTAGTATACATGTACATACAAATATTTTGTTTGAATAAGAAATTCCTTTCTAAAATGTGTCACAACCTAATAATAATAATAAAACAAACTAGAACTTTATTTCTTATTCCACATGTATAATAAAACACATCACATCAGGCTTAAAAACTTAGTACAATCTTTATAATAAAACACATCACATTAGGCTTACAAACTTAGTACAATATTTATAATAAAACACATCACATTAGGCTTACAAACTTAGTATAATATTTATAATAAAACACATCACACCAGGCTTACAAACTTAGTACAATATTTATAATAAAACACATCACACCAGGCTTACAAACTTAGTACAATATTTATAATAAAACACATCACACCAGGCTTATAAACTTAGTACAATATTTATAATAAAACACATCACACCAGGCTTGAAAAATAATACAATATTTATAATAAAACACATCACACCAGGCTTATAAACTTAGTACAATATTTATAATAAAACACATCACAAAGTTCGTACAATATTAATGTTGTGTCCCTTGAATTTTGTAATACAAGACTAGTCATATACTACAAGTGTACAAAACTATACAAAAGTTTAAACACATTTCGAATGTGAACTGGGTCGGTCAAACATGAAATATACAGTTATACAACAAGGTCCATACTAACCAACTTCAATTCTCCATTTGGTTAGAGATTTGCTAAATCACGTGGCGCATTAGATAAACATAAATTGTACAACTATACTCTTAATAATTAATCACACACTTGGTTAATTACAACAACAAAACATAGATGGAGCAGCGTACGGTATTTTCCGGCAAGTCTTTCATCTTACTACCTGAATGTTAATTAAACAGATGGAGCCAACTATGGTGTCATTTGAAACGTTATAAATTATTCACAAAACACTTACCTGTGTTCTCGTTTATTAGGCCTACCAGCGGCCAAGAAAGTACATTGACAAGATAGATAATTTTATTTAAGAAAATTCAGTTTTTACCACTCTCAATCTGCCCATCATCTCAACAGTTATCTTTTCTCACGATAACAATATTCAAACCTTTAATTTAAAGTTCTTGGTTTATATATACGATAAAGTGTTGAAATGACATCACTACCGCACCATCCCATTGATCATGATATTTGCGAGGGCGTTCCTTCGTTTTCGCCATGTCCCGAGATCTTTCGCGTGGTATCGCAGCTGTTTCAACCACTCACTAGACTCCTTCGTTGTATCAGCCTGGGAAGAAAGTCAAACCATTAGATTTTTTTTTTCCTTTGTTGAGAATCATAAACGAATCCCAGGATGTACAAAATTCATTAACGTTTCCACAACACTGGAGTTTGGAAATTGTGTCGATAAGAAAGAAAATATTAGATTTTATAGATGTGGAAATTAGAAAAATGACAATGTAAGAATATGAATTATATCTTATTTTTTTACAAAAGCTTAGCTTGGAAATTCGGTTTGCAATTAACAGAAACATTTGCCTTTGTATATTGGGAAGTCAGATATCGAAACCAAAACCTATCAGATCATAAGACACTTTGTGGAAGATTAGTGAAGAAACCAAAAAAACTCAAATCGGTTTTGACGAAATAAACGAAACTAAAATTTAGAGGCGAACATTTATTACACTGCATATTTCTACTTAATTCGGTCTATAACACAATATCTCACCTTAAAAAAATAAGTTTCTTTTGTTGTGTATTCCTGGACTTCAAAAGTCTCATAATTTTCAGGATCGGAGCTAATGACACAGTTGCCAAGGTGCATCGGATCCTATAAAATAAGGTAAGCGTTTATAATCAAGTAACAAGACTTACTGTTCTAAACGCTTTATTTACTCATTGATCAAACCTGCTCTACTTTGAACTCGATTGTGACTGTTTGTGTTTGTTTGTTGAGTTTCGTGGAAAGTTACTGTAGGATTTTCTGCTCTAGTCGTTCCTAATTTTGAAATGATAGACTCGAGGGAAAGCAGCTAGTCAATACAACCCACCGCCAACTCTTTGGCTACTCTTTCCAACGAATAGTGGAAATGACCGTCACGTTATAGCGCCCCCACAGCTGAAATAGGGAGCACGTTCGGGGACGGGTTTCGATCCAGCGACCCATAGAGGGCGAGTCAAGTGCCCAAATACTAGGCCGTGTCATACGTTGACATTTATGTATAAATATATTTCAAAAATATAAAACAATTAAAGAATTCTGAAGAAACTCTTTGTGTGTGACTTTCAACCAGAACGGCATCTTATAAGCCATGTGGTCTAAAATAGCCAGATCAAAGACACGCCTATGATTGTAGATGTTCCTAATTTTGTACTGACCAGAATGAATGCGGCCAAGAGCACACCCTGCCAGAAATACGTTGGCTCTTTGAAACAAAAAACACAATTAATTGCTAATTTAATAACGCGTCTACAGTAAGTATCGTGGAGTGTTCAACAGTGTCACATCTCAGACTTTGGACCTTGCGGTCTGTAGCCCAACATACTAATCACATAGCCAGGCCTTTCCGTCTGTAGTCCAACATACTAACCACATAGCCACCAGGCCTTTCCGTCTGTAGCCCAAGATACTAACCACATAGCCAAGCCTTTCCGTCTATAGCCCAACATACTAACCACAAAGCCAGGCCTTTCCGTCTGTAGCCCAACATACTAACCACATAGCCAGGCCTTTCCGTCTGTAGTCCAACATACTAACCACATAGCCAGGCCTTTCGGTCTGTAGCCCAACATACTAACCACATAGCCAGGCCTTTCGGTCTTTAGTCCAACATACTAACCACATAGCCAGGCCTTTCGGTCTGTAGCCCAACATACTAACCACAT